CGGACGAAAACGTCAAAAACGAACATACTGAAATAACAAAAACTTTAAAGCAAGTTTACAATGACAATATGCTTCATCCTTCCTTAACAATCGTTCAGACAGAAGTCAGAAGTCAAGTGCAACCAGATATCGGCAGTAAATATATAACGCAATGGTGGCATTTTTTCATGCCCTATTCAAAACATTAGTACCTTTAGATCTAAGTAATCACCAATTCACACTGAAAATCTACTTTTACAGAATACGGCCTTGCGAACCGCCGAATAATTACGATTAGCCTGGCAAGACTGAAGAATGGTCAGTGAAGGATACCGAACAATTACAAGAGGTTAGAGCGAGTTGATAAGCAACACTACAGAGGTGGACATAAGATTTTGCCTTAAGTATACTCTTGTACATCAGCTTCAGCAGTAACGCAAGTTACCGTTCAGTTTCTTCTGTCTAAGCAGTGGCAAAACGTCTTGAAACTAACTGACTGAGTGTCACACTCAAAAATAATGGAACGTGTCATAAATCAAGGCCGCCTCTGGTTTTTCGGGTATTTGAATAGGGCCAATTCATATTCGAAATCCCGCATCAATGAAAGAAATGATCTACTTGTGCGACCCGCTTAACTTTATATCAGTCTGAAATCAGCGGATTCTTTACCACACCATACTCGACAGCAAAATATTTTCGACGCCGCTAAACGAACTACAGTGAAGCCTGACATAATAACGGCAAGAATTGTGATAAACGAACATTGAAGTAGAATAGCATATTAGAACGTGAAATTAAAAAGAGCCATAAATTCCTGTATACGAACGTGCCCCAATCAAGAATATCTTACCAAATAAGATCCGTACACCCATCGTGCCAAACGATCTCACAATACGCGCCATTACACTATTCATACACCAACGACCGCCAAGTTCGACCACCACCGACGTCCATGAAACCACCGATCAGTTAAAGATTACGTGGCTATAGCTCATTGGTTACAAACTATTCGACACATCAACTTACACGTGTACTGAATACGTTACCTGTTGATCTAACAAAAAAATCAATAATATTAAGAAATACAACAGTATCGCCCAAAGTTCAGCTCGAGATTTAAAAATTTCAAATCGTGATTACATATTGTGCTAATCAATATACTGAATAGTCATCTATCATGATAACCCTTGTATTAAACAGCATAAACATTAGCCTTGTCAACTTATTCAAATACCGTAATCTGGCCAGAATAAAATGCTCTCCCTTTTATTCGTGTCACCGACTTACTGCTCGTTTCTCTAGATGGTCCCCTGAAAAAACGTTGAAAGAAGTACAGAGTTAAGTTAAAAAATATTTATTTGAGCGGATTTGTATCCGATATCTCCGAAGTTCAAAGACTACAGTTGTAACGTGAAACTACGCCCGTAGCATACAATTAGAAGGCATTACTGACATCATAAGAAAACACATTGTAATTAACTGATACGGAAACGAATACTTTTGTCAAACCATGAATGTGGCTATTATTTTTAAAGAGATTGCATTTAATTTTTAATGGTGATAAAAAATTCTTCATAGTCAAAATCTTCAAAGGGCTGAATCGGCATATTAATTTTATAAAATAAAATCCGAACTCTTCGGATCAAGTTGCAATCATTTTTAAGGGTCGTCATGTAAAAACAATTGTACAAACAATGTCAAGAGCAGTGTTGACAATCCATAAAGCCAAAAGACATCTTTGTGAATAAGATGAATTGTTTTTTTATTTTATATCCATGGTTAAAGGCGACAAGTAAAAGAAAGTAAAAATATTCTTCATTTACCGACGCGTTTCAACGTGGAAACTAGTTTAAACGGAAGGGAGGGTGGCTGTAAAAAAGGCGAAGTTACTTATTCGTGCCAGTGAAGTAAAGGAGGTGGCCGGCCATATATTCTGCGTTAATTGACTTCTGTACAGAAAATATTTGTTTAAGTTATTTTGTTATGATCATCACTATGAGCCGTTTCGGTAAGATAAAATACCTGGTAATGTCCGGTACACCCACCGTTTTTCGACATTTGCCATAAGAACCGACCATTGTATTGCAGAAGGAAACACCTTTTTAAAAGCAAATATGCCTCTACCTTGTTCCTCCGTGTTGTGCGTTAGCCTCCTAGTCAAAGTCTGCCGTGTTTCGGCTCAAACGCGAAAAGCAAGCGCGCTAAAGTAGATGGTGTAAGCTTAACCAATTATCTAACAGGGCAATCTCTTTTCCTTAAACTCCACTTCTATCAAGGTAACCTGTGCCTGAAGAGGATAAAGGCATTCCTTGTGTGGCTTGCCCATTTAACCCTCATCGGGCGGCAGAGCTGATGCTTTTATATGCAGCTCAACCGTCGTTTTAGCAACTTTTTTTATAACGGCTGCCGCCATGCCTTAGAGAAACAATGACCTGAAAGAAAAAAGGCACAATCGGATTTTCATGACAAGAACAACTCCTTTCTTTCCAAAATATTGGTCAAGCTTCCAAAAGTCATGAGACTAGGGTGATCCTTCTATTTTACTCTGATTGAATAATGCTATCGCTGGAAACGATTCAGCTGAGATACTTAAACTGGTCAACCACCTGAAGGGCTTTGCTTCCCTGTTCTACTTATAGATCAGTTGTGCCTAGGGGTTCGTCGTAACCTTTGACTTTCGGGCGTTAAGGAAAAGACCGACTTTCGGAGATTGCTGCATACGTAAGCCATGATGTGACAGTGCCTTCTTTCCACACTATTCATCAGTTTAATATCATCTACGTACTCCATATCAGCAAGATATATAGCCGGATGTCATGACCTGTTCCTTTTCACTGAAATCGGATGTTCGTTATTTACCGGGGTCATCTCTGTTTCTTACAGTTATTCGAATCTTACAGTTATTAAGAAATCTTTCAGATAGTTCTGCTTCAACTGTGACAGTCGAAATGGTTCCTGCAAGCATCTCTTCTAAAATGGAAACTATGTACTCACGTATTTCAGAACACTTCAAGATTTACAACATCGAAAGTGATTTAGTGAATCAAATGTAGTTTAAAAGTCGAGGAAACTGACAACTAAGATAACTGGCATTATCGACATTTGCTCAGTGATACTACGCACAGTGAAACATTGGTAGGGGCAGGAATATTCCTTCCAAATTTGGTCGAATTCTCCAATCAATTGTTTGTCTCTGCTTTTCAAGCATAACTCAGTAGGTGTTTCCCGGGAGTTTAGAGCGTGTGATACCACCATATTGGAATGCGTAGTCACCAATAAATATAGGGATAATTATTCCAGATTTGCATTCTCATGGGAAACGTTCACAGGTCCACACTTGAAGAAACAGAACATTAAACTATTCTACCATTCCCTTTCCTCTAAGAGGAGAAATTCGATCCATCCCGAGGGCCTTTTTCACCTAATGATGTAGCAAGGTTTCTGGTTCTCAATTTCTGCGAATGAATATGTGCTAACGTCTAGTGTTAGCAGATAATTTAAGGTCGAAAATAACAATTTAGAGGGCAGCCGCTGAGCAGCTGCTGGAAATATTCAGTCAACCCTTTGAGGGGTTCTTTCTGATCTGTCAGTTCGATACCCTTAACGAATTAGATGTGAACAGGCCATTTTATATGCTTAGTGTACAACTGCTGCAGCCTTTGAGTACTGTTCCTTATTCGCCATTTTTAGTAGCCTTGTCGATTGTCCTGATTTTTCCCACCCCCTTTCTCTTCAGCCAAAGTTCCCCGTTCCACGTATAGCTTTGGTTCATTGTACGAACGAGTCGTCGATGAGCTGCCTTAGAGAATATACTACCGTTTTACAATTGTTCCTTCTTTGCCTGACTGCTTTGTACTCTAAAGGCTTGGGTCTTTTCCGTAACTCAGGATAGTTTGGCTATTTTCTTTTTAATGCACACTCCTTTTCTCCTCAAGAAATGACGACTTATTTGAAGTCTTTGTAAGCTTCATTGCGTTGCCTCTTCCCGACTGGCAGTAAAGGTGGCATTAGAATAATTCTCCATCCCTTTTCTATAAGCCGGAGGCACCGCTTTCTCATATTTTAGGCCTACAACATCGAACAGGTAATGTGTTTCATCTTACAGAACTGGTGCCAAAAAAATTAATATCAGGCCAAGTTCCTCTGTGATCAGATTCATTCCACGCCTGACGCCAGTTTCGAGTTACGCTGCGCCACTTGCCCTTAATGAAAACCTTGTCCAAATTGGTGTCTAGGTTTGCATCGACGGATGCGCAGGCGGTTTGGTTAATACACTTATGAGGAAGAAGAATCCTGCTGATGATTGGGCTGTTTGTCGTGCAAAAGCTTGACGGAACCTGTCGCCTTCAAAATCTTTACGGTACGCCTGGCCATATGCTTTACTCAACGCCCATCTTTGCGTTGATGTCGCCTACGGCAATGGTGAAAGCAAGAAGCGACAATGCGCTAACAGCTAAAAAAGCGTCTTTGCCGCTGCCATTTGACGCATCTGACGGGACATAGGCGAGAATGATATGTGGAATTAGACATTCATGCGACGGACCAAGATTCTCTCCGACATCTGCTTCATCGAAATGACCGCCCGACATACGCTAGAGGACAAAGGCAAATCCATTTTGGCATGGCTTAATTTACAGTAGCCTGACACAAAAATGATCACTTGTCCTGCATGTCAAGAGTCCCATTCTACGTGAGACGAACTTGCGCAATCGCTAGTACATCGAATTTATGCCAACGGGCCGTACAGAGCACGTCATTGAAATTTCCTTTGCCAGACAAGGAATGAACTTTCAAATGCTAATAACAGCTTGCACCTTGTAGTGTTGACTTCGACATGAACAATTTCTTGATGTCTAGTTGACAGGTGAGTTTGGAACGATAACCGCTCGAAACGCAACTTATTTCGGCGAAAGCGATAAATTCGCCGCTACTCGCTTAGAAATCAGATGACAATCTTGCAAGAATAGAATATGGAGACAAAGCATAAATAAGCAGTGGAGACGAATGGCAACAAAATGGCTCTGGCGAACAAAACGTGCTGATGAATCGTGGGATGTGAACAGAATAGTCTCAGTAGCTCAATGTAGTGAAACAACTGCAGAAAACAGGGTTCTGTAATCTATAATCTGTAAAGGCAAAATCATTTTAGACTGGCCACGGCTCCATTGTATTACAACACTTGCAGCAATTAAATGCTAAGCACTTTTGGAAGTAAATGCCTAGGACATGGCAATTTCATTTAGGAGCCAACGGCGAAATCTCACAAGAAGCGGAAAATTCAAACGCGCCTTCACCAACAACCAGCGGTGATGGCACATCATAAAGGAGGCTAAATGCTCCTGTCCTTCGCAACGCAAATGAGCAGATGGGCTTAACATCGGCACGTAGGAACAGATTGGCTCTTTAGCTATCTAGATCGCAAATGCATAATGGAAACGAAACAGTATAAAAGCACCGGTGGACGTTGTAAAAGAGGCAGAGAGGTCCAAAACTAAAATAACCTGCATTGTTTGCTGATGCTGCTTTCGTGCGTGCTTTAAATCATTGGGCTCATACTTTGTGTTTCCTTCTCTTGCAACCTTGACCTGGCTAACAACACTGATAGATTTTAGATCAAACTGAACAGTTCAGTTTTGCAAATCAGCATACCAGGCGATGGATTACTACGAAACAATGTCCTGATAAAATGTAATATTGACTTCTACAACGAAAATGCAACCAATGCAGTGACTTTACAAAAGCGACATGGACATGGGATTCTCTACTAAGAACGAAGACGA